AAACAAATCCATAAATTACAAAATTTTTCAAATTAAATAAATCCATTTACCTTTTATATCATTTTTACACATATAAATTTCCAAATAACAATCATTTGGAAAAGTACATCCAAATGATTTGCCTTCAATTTCAATGGTTGTACAAATTGGTTTAAAAGTACGAGGACAAGGTTTTTCGCAACTGGACTTGTCATCATCAGCCATGACACCAAAGAATAGACCAAATAATAAAATTACGCAAGTGGTAGAAGGATGCATTTTGAAGTTTAGAATATTATTTAACACTTCTAAAAAGCTAATTTAAAAGTCGTTACATGTGAACTACTTTCTTTGTTATTTATATAATTTTTTGGGAAACAAATCTGTTTTAAAAATTTTAATGTTTTATTTAGAAAGAAACATTTATTATGACTGAACACGTTTGAATTTCGGTAAAATTTATTAGCTTTTCTTTGTCTTTACATTGTCGTTTAAAACACAAAGTCCTGGTAGGAACCCAGGAAAAACTTACATTGAAAAGTAATGAGTTAATAAGCTAATAACATGGTAATGTTATTAGTTATTAGTCATTACTAATAACATTACCATGTTATTAGTAATGAGTTAACACGCTCGCTTACAAATAGGTAGTTAACGAAGTACTTACCACGCACGCTTACAAAGGGGTAATTGAGTAAGTAGTTTAGTTTTTAACAAATAAGTAATACGAGGAAATACGAACTAGGTATTTCGTGTTTGTTAGTCAACTGTTCTATTCACCACTGCTTAACTATTATGTTGATCATCATCATAATGTTTTTCACATACAAATACAATTTAGTTTTCTTTTTATATAAAAATAAATAAGAAATTATAGTCGGGCGAGGCCGACCATACCCTACACCAGTTACAAAAATAAAATGTGTTTTAGTTTTCATAATAATGCATTTGAGTTGAACTGTACCTTCCCTTAGATATACTTAAGCAATTTATTGTTATATAAAATTGTGGACATTTAAGTCATATTTTGAAGGGGTATTTGTATAAGGGCTATAGTCAAATCAGACCCTATAATTATATAATTCATGAGAGTCATCAAGGCTAGTATAGAACTTGGTTTTACAGCTTTTTGTAGAGATACGAGTTTATTAAACATAATTATGAACTTAAGAGCCCTATTCGTCGGGTTCAGTTGTATGGGGGCTAGGTGAAATAATGGAGCAATGTTAAGTATTTTCAATAGGCTTCGTCTCCGATACCATAGAAGATCATGTGCCAAATTTCATTGAATTATCTTCAAAATTGCGACCTGTAGTTTGATTAAAAGGTTTACAAGCCCTACTCTGAGGTTCAGTTGTATGGGGGCTAGGTGAAATAATTGACCGCTCCTTACCATTTTCAATAGGCTTCGTCCCTGTGACAATAGAAAATCATATACCAAATTTCATTGAATTATCTTTAAAATTGCGACCTGTAGTTTGATTACAAGGTTTACATGGACGGACAGACGGACGGACATAGCAAAATCGACTCAGAAAATGATTCTAAGCCGATTGGTATACTTTTAGGTTCGTATAGGACCAATATGATTGTGCATTACAAACATCAGCACAAACCCAATATACCTTTCCCACTAAAGTGGTGTAGGGTCTACAAAACCAAGCAAACAAAATGACAAAGCCGAAAAGAAGTACTTCTATAACAGATTAAAAGAAAGTCATTACTATACTCCTTATAAGTAATGCAGATGGTATGTAGTTGTAAATGAAAATTAAGTTGTGGAATAAGTACAAGTCATTAACTGGTTTTTTGCTGGGGAAAATACTCTTAATACACATTTGTTAGTCCAGCAACAAGTAAAAATCGGGGTTTTGGGGTTTAATGCAAATTTTAAATGTGGTATCATGAACTACTTTTCTAGAACTACGAACAACACTAGGTCACGAAAAAAGTATATATTTTGTTGTGATTTTGTACTACAATTTAAGCGATCTTAAAGACATGGGGATAATTACTTCTCATGATACATAGTAAATAAGTCAATAGCCCTGAGCCTGTACGCAGGCTATAGAAAAGACCATAAAATAGTTAAGAGTTGAGACTATAGAATAGACTTTAGTCGAAAATATATTTCATACTATAATTGAGACTTAAGTATAGTCATTCCGTTAAGAATTCCTAACAATGTCATCTGAGGTAGTCATTAGGTAAGTTTAGGAAAAAATTAGTTTGCTACTTTATTTCTAGGTCCTTCACTTGATTAAACTAAATATACTATAGAATAAACCAAAGTCACATCATGATGCAACATTTTTCAGCAAGTAACTTTATTCAGATTTTTGAACATTTTATATAAGCATATATCTAAAAAAATCAAATATTTTTAAGAATCGGTGAAACTGAATTAAAATGTTTAGAATTCCGTTAATGATTTTCAAAATGAGAAATATTTTTCATACAATTCTTTATAGTTAAGCATAAAATTAGGCCGCTAGCATTTCCAAATTTTTAGGTATCTCTTTAGTCTATGATTATTTAAATGTTGAAAAATTAAAAAAAAAACATGTGAAAACAAATTTATACAATTCTTAAAAATTTTTGAATTTAATCATATCATCAGTATTATTTACTCAGCAACACCATCACATTCAGGAGCTGTATCTTCGCAAGATCCCATAAATTGTTCCAATTCTTTAGAAAAAAAAAACAAAAAACTAAATTAAAAAGTTAAAAAAAAAACATTTACCTGTTACTTCTTGTTGACACATGTAAATTTCCAAATGACACTTATTTGAAAAGGTACATTTAACTGGTTTGTCGTCAATTTGAATGGTTGCACAAATTGGAAGAAAAATACGAGGACAACCTCTTACGCATTTATCACCACCCATGACACCGAAGAATAGACCAAATAATAAAATTATGCAAATGATAGAAGGATGCATTTTGAAGTTTAGAAAATAGTTTTCACTTCTAAAAGGCTATTCTGAAAGTCGTTGAATGTGAAGTAATTTCGTTGTTATTTATATGATTTTTTTGGAAACAAATCTATTTTAAATGTTTAATGTTTTATTAATGAAGAAAACTTTTGTATGACTGGACACGTATGTATCTCGGTAAAATTTATTAGCTTTTCTGAATGCAAAATATGAATAATTATGAATAATTTAGTGAATACAAATAATTAAAAAATGGACAGTTTTAAATTATTTCGAATAATACTTTGATTTCGAAGATATTTATATATTGAAATATATTTACATATTGTTTGAAAACTTTTAAGTTTTCTGGGAGATCGAATATTAGATATATACAAATTAATTTTCAATTTAGTTGTAATTGAAAAGTAATTTGTTGAGTAGGTACAAGTCATTACCAGGTTTTTGCTGGTAAAAATACTCACAATACACATTTCTTAGTCCAGCAACAAGTTCAAATCAGGGGTTTTGCGTTATATTACAAATTTTAAATGTGGTGTCATGAACTACTTTTCTAGACCAACAAACTGCACTAGATTAGATTAGAGAGAGCCATAAGCACTGCGACCCTGTTTTGGATCTTTGGTGCAGCCCATGCGTTCAACATAACAGGTTTAATTCACGTATGAAAATAACAGGTTTGATTGGTTGGAGAGGTTGAATATATCCTTCGGGGCTAGTGATGCAGCACCTAAGATTCTTTCTCGACGAGTCCTTAGTGTTGGATACTTGCACAATATGTGCTCTGAGGTTTCCTCCTGACAGCCACAAAATCTGCATATCTTCGATGTGGCGTTTCCTAGGATAAATTGATGATATCTGAGACCACAGTGTGCCGTGAGTAGTCCCGTTAGTATTCTGACACTCACTTTTGTAAAGCCATAACAACTTTTGGGATTTTCCTCTTGATAGCGTGATTAAGCTCTTGGTCTGTCTAAGCCCTGTTGTTGCTTCCCAGTGGCGAGCAAATTCCGATTCGACTCACGATACGCATCTTTGTCTGACGTAACCTTGAGGGATACAAAATAATGGTTCAGGGCCGATAAGTGCGCTTCTATTTGCTAAGCAGTCCGCCCGTTCGTTGCCAGAGTGACCTTCATGGCCGGGTACCCTACATATTGTTAATATGTTGTGTTAACCCAGTTTGTTCAATGAGGACACACAGTCCATCACAACACTCGACCTAACTTCATAGGAAAGTAAGGCCTTGAGTGCTGCTTAGCTGTCTGTCATTATGTAAATTTCCAAACCTTCTCCTCATGCACTCTCTAGCACAGATGAAGATGGTGTAGTCTTTCGCCTGAAAGATTGAGGGATATTTTCCCATGGAGATTGCCTTCTGGAAATTAGGACCACAAATGCAACAAACTAATCCGTCAGTAAACCATACTCGATCAGCATTTTACTGCCACCATGTTTGATTGGCCCATTTGTTCCTTTCAGGTATCATAACCTCGAAGGAACGGTCAGAAACCAATGTTGGCGAACCAAAACCATGGACGCGGATATATGGGTCGTTGATGAATAATTTTAATATGTATACTTATATGCCCTTCAAGGTCACTTGTTCTTAGTCTGGCGATTTCCGGTAGGCAAATTGCCGATTTACAGGCCTCATTTTTAATAAGAATATCCAAAGGTGGTATGAGAAGAAAAGCCCCAATTGCATATGTAGCACATGTTCTCATGGCCCCCGTAATAGAGACGCAGACAAGAAAATAAAGTTTGTCCAGAGAAGCCCGACTGGTGGTCTGCTTCACTTTTTTCCACCAGATTAAGGCAGCATAAATCAGAATGGGCTTTATTATGATATTAAAAGTCCATGAGATCATTTTCGGTTTTAAACCCAAAGAGCCTTTGACAGGCATATAATGCCCTAATGGCTCTATTGATCGTACTGGGTTTGTCAAAAATGATCCTTAGACTAAAAAGTAACTATTTACTTATAAACTTATTTTTAAATCATTACTAGACATATTTCAAAGTAATGCAGTAGGTATGTAGTGGTCATTAAAGAGTAAGTTGTTGAGTAAATACAAGTCATTACCCTGTTTTTTTTGTTTTACTTTATTATTTGTTTTTATATTATGTATTTGTTTTGACAATAACTTTGATTTCTTAAAATTTATATAAAAGGTCCTCACATCCTGAAAACTCTTCATCACAATGTCCTTTCTCCTTAATTAATTCTTAATTAAAAAGATAAATCGATTATTAAAAAAATATATATTAAAGAAATTTTATTTTCCAAATTAGTACCTTGTTTTGTTCTACATGTAAAGATTTCCAACATACATTCATTTGCAAAATTACATTTTACATTTTCGCCCTCAGAATTTTTAATGGTACCACAGACTGGTAGGTAAATACGGGGACAAAATTGTTTGCAGTCGGTTTCTTCGTTTGCTATGACTCCCACAACGAGGAATAAACCCATTAATAAACTGATGCAACAACTAGTGAACTGCATTTTATAGAAAACTAAATACTTAAGACTTTAAGAAGACATTAGTTAAGCAGTTTTATCGCTATTTATATGAAATTTTAGCATTAGGACGGTTTCATCTATATTATATAACAAAGGAAAATGATTCATAAAATATTATGACTAAATATTAGGGGTGTTACAAAGTTAGTTTTAAACCTGAATAATAATAATGATTATTTTATAGTTTATTCCTAGTAAAACAGGGTAATGAACTGTACTTACTCAAGAACTTACTTTTATTGACTACATACATACCGTCTGCATTAGTCTATTCTATTCTGCTTAAATGCCTGTAATTTAAACATAAAATTTAAAATATGCATTTACAACAGTTACAGCAGCCACACTACTATCACGTATTATGGACTCTTGTAATTTGTTTAAAACGAGTACTTTTCTGAATATAATCAATTCATGTAAAGCAGTAAAATGCATAAAATAGAAAATAATAATATAGACACGACACGTCTATATAATTAATTTCAAAATAATTTTTTCTATACTGTATACTGCTAATAATTGAAGTATATACTTCTGGTATCAGTTCTAAAACTAATTAAGAGAAAATGTTTTTTAAAGATGATATCAAATATTTAGAGCATTACATTACCTTACTTCTACATTGCACTTTACCCAGTTCAAAAACTAGTTAGAGAGTTATATTCGACCATGCCGAATCTTATATACCCACCATCAAATCATTGCCGAAAAGAATTGCTTTCTTATAAATAAACTTTGAATTTATGAATCGATGCTTTTTTTAATATCGAAAGATATTTTTCTGTATAGGGTGGGGTCAATTTTCTGAATAGGGTGGCGTCAATTATTGACCGATCCTCAGAAAATTTGGTAGAAAGATTTTGGTTCATACAAAACTTGTTTATGTTGAATTTCATCGTTATACTCTTATTTTTATGCTAGTATTCAGCGGTAAAGTAATTTTCTGAAGGGGAATTTATACGGGAGATAGGATCAAATATAGACCGATCCTCACAAAAGTTGCTAGCTAGATTTTGTTCCATATGAAACTTGTTTATGTCGAATTTTATCGCTGTATTCTTATTTCTGAGCCAGTAATAAGCCTTAAAGTAATTTTCTAATTTTCTACTCCCCTAATATGGGGAGTAGGGTCAATTATGGATCGATCCTCACAGAAGTTAGTAGAGAGATTTTGGCTCATACAAAACTTGTTTATGCCGAATTTTATCGCTATACTCTCATTTCTGAGCCAGTAATAAGTGTTAAAGTAAATTCCTGAAGGGGACCTTATATGGGGGTAGGGTCAATAATCCTCACAAAAGTTAGTAGAGAGATTTTAACTCATACAAAACTTGTTCATATCGAATTTCATCGATGTACTCGCATTTCTGAGCCATTATGTTAAGAGATTTACGTTCACATTCCGGAGGGCCACTTGTATGGGAGCTATGTGAAAACGTGAACCGATTTTGTCTATTTTCAATACCAAATAAACCTTATCAATAGAGAATATTTATGCAAAATTTCAGCGGCTAGATCGTCTCAGAATCTAATAAGGACCCAGAATATATATACTTTTATGGGTCTTAGGCGAATATTTCGATGTGTTACAAACGGAATGACAAAAACAATATACTCCCCATCTTTTTTGATGATGGGTATAATAACAAATTAACATTTCTTATCTAATAGGTTCATTTTGATTGAGGCCTTGTTAGCAAACTGGGGAAATTTAGATAGCTTTATTAAACAAAGAGGGGTTTCAATTAAGGAGCTAAAAGTCACCATTAATTCCATGTAAGCTAAGCCAGTTTTTTACAATTATTTAGCTTATCGCGATTCCCTTGACTTCAGATGATTCAACATTTCTGTTGAAATCTTTAAAAAAAAATATTTTTTTTTAAAGATTGAAGAAATAGCTTTTAAAAGTCCTTTGACAATTTTTGCTAGACCAATTTTTGCTAGAAGTTACACTCATTTTGTTAAGGTTTTCAAAATTCTATTTAATTTGGAAACACTTCATTTTAATTTTTCTAAACCCATTTCCTCTTCGATCTTGTGTTAAAGAAAATCAAAATTTTTTAAGAATCTTTGAAACTGAATGGATGTTTCTAATTAAGAATTCGATACAATTTTATTTAGTTGAGTAAAAATTTTAGCCGCCATAAAAAAGCTGGGGTTATGTTGATTTTGTCATTCAGCTTGTATATACATATATTCAGGGTGTTTGTTGAATTCTAAGACGATCTGGCCATGTCCGTCTGTCTGTCTGTTGAAAGTACGATAGAGTCAGAACGAGTGCTAGAGGTATGAAATTTTCAACAAATGACTGTTTTAAAAATCGGATCGGTTAATAATTGACCGTACCGTTCATATAAGGTGCTCTTCAGAAAATTGCTTTAATGCTGTCTTTAAAATACAGTATAGCGATGAATTTCGGAATAAACAAGTTTTATATTTAGCGGATCAGCTCATAATTAAACCATATATACATAAATCCAACTTCAGAAAATAACGAGTACAGTGATGAAAATAGACATAAAAAAGTTTTATATATAATTTTTTTTTAAGCATTCGACTAATAAAACTATGCAAATGCCAGAAGGATGCTTTTTGAAGACTAGTTTACACATCTTTAAAAACAAAATTTTTGGAACCAAATATCTTTTAAAATTTTAAAGTTTTATTAATAAAGAAAAATGTATTATTCTTAATGCAAAATATTCTGAATAATTTTGTGAATATACAATGTACATTATAAATACGTAAAATAAATTCAGAAATATGTTATTTTAAAATATTCTGAACATCACTCCGATTTCGATGGAATTTACATAGCGAAAACCAGCCAGAAAACCAATAACGTGCACACCGATACTGCTATCCAATCCTAGTTAGACCAGTTTTATGTCGACCTGATGCTCCGTAACTGGATCAAATACATGCTAAGGAATAGATGGATGAGCTGCGAGATGTACGATACAGCTATCAGGAAAAATGTATTTCGCGGTATACCAAAGGACGGTATTTTGTCACCTTTACTCTGGGCTACCACGATTAATAGCCTCCTAAGGACCCTAAGCGAGAAAGGTCTAAGACCCGTCTGCTATGCAGACGATGTCGTAATACTTTTAAAGGGAAAGGATCCAAAGTACTTGTGTAGAAGAGCTGAGGAGGTTCTGAATATGGCCTTAAGCTGAGCTCAACCGGGAGGCCACAATGTTAACTCGGCGATGACGAAAATCTGTCATTTCACAAGAAAGACAAAACTTTCTACGTATACTGAACCCTGTTTCCTGGACAAGAAGTTATCGGTGACAGACAAAGTTAAGTACTTAGGTGTAATCCTTGATAGGAAATTAAAATGGAGACATCACATAGAGGATATGATCAACAAAGCACATCGGTGCTGGGCGATATGTAAGAGAACTATGGGCATAAAATGGGGTCTTAGTCCTACTATGACAAATTGTCTTTATAAAAGTGTAATTAGACCAATTCTAGCTTATTCGGCTTTGGATAAAAAATGTACAGCGTACATGCTGCTTGGGTATAAGTGGTGCCATGTGTACTACTTCAATCAAGGCTATGGAAACGTTACTAGATATTCCACCCATTGAAACATATTTAAGATATGAGGCGGCGCTTACAGCCGAAGGGCTCTTTACTTTAGGCGATCTGGCCAAAGCGGTTATAGGACACGTTATCAATGTATACTGGACACATTGGAAGGTTTTATTATGAAAACTAAATTTTTATAAATGATGTAGAGTATTATAATTTCTTTTCCCTTTTTTTGTTTATAAAAATTCTGATTTTCTAGATGTCCGATTCTAATAAAAGTCGCAATTTCATGAGAAACTCTTTCATTTTAAGTTTAATGGATTCGAATTTCATTAAAAAGTAAATAAACAAAACAATTTGTTAAGATTTTGTTAAAAATTAGTTTTAAGCTTATTTTTTATTTTACTGTCGCTAAGTAACTTGACTGTCCCTAAGTAATCTAAAGATTATACACTTCACAGAAAATTTAAGAGAAAATATTCACCCAGCAAGAACTATGTAATTGTAATTACTTACCTAACAACATACTTTTCAATGACTACTTCATATCATCTGGATTACATAGAAGTAGTCTAATAAGGTCTTACTAATAATGTGTTATATAATTACTTTCTAATTCATTACTCATATTGGCAGTGAAAATATGGAAGCTGAATATGTTTTTTTCATGCGATTTACAATGAGTACTTTTTATACCCACCATCAAAAAAGATTGATTTTGTCATTCCTTTTGTAACACTTTGAAATATTGGTTGTAGACCCATAAAAGTATATATATTCTGGATCCTTATCAAATTATATGACGTCCGTCTGTCTGTTGTTGACACGATAGCGCCTAAACGAGAGAAGCATTGATAGGCATTATTTGGTAGGTACTAGTGAAAATGGACAATATCGGCCGACGTTTTCGGATAGCCCCCATACAAGTGGACGCTCGAAAAACAGCTTTGGGGGCATATCTGTTTAAGAAGTACGAGTATAGCGTTGAAATTCGACATATATTTTTATATGAACCTAAAACTCCCTACCAAATTTTATGAGGATCGGTCCATAATTGACCCTACACCCCATATAAGATCCCATTCAGAAAATAATTTTAACGCTCATTACAGGCTTAAAAATACGACCATAGCGATGAAATTTGAAATATGTAAGTTTATTAGGAGCCAAAACCTCTCTACCAAATTTTATGTAGATCGGTCAATAAACGACCCTACCCCCCATATAAGGTCTCCTTCAGAACATGACTATAACGTTCACTACTGGCTTAAAAATACGAATAAAGCGATGAAATTTCACATAAGAAAGTTTCTTATAAGACAAAACCTCGCTACAAAATTTTATGTAGATCGGTCCATAATTGACCCTACCCCCATATAAGGTCCCAATCAGAAAATTACTTTAACACTCATTACTGCTTTAAAGTAATTCGATGAAATTCGACACACATAAGTTTTATGCGAGTCAAAATCTCTCTACCAAATTTGTTGAGGATCGGTCTATAATTGATCCTACCCGCATATAGGGTCTCCTCCAGAAAATTACTTTAACGATCATTGCTGGCTGAAAAATACGTGTATAGTTATTAAATTTGATATAAGAAACTTTTATAGGAACGTTAATCTTCCTACCGTACTTCATGCGGAAAGTGTCGTTAACTCACCCTACCCGCCCATATAAGCCCTTCAGAAAATTATCTTAACTCTAATTACTGGCATAAAAATGCTAGTAAAGTGATGATATTCGATGTAAACATGTTTTATATGAACCAAAATCTAAACAATTTTATAAAAACCCTACCCTTCAATAAGGACCTCTTCAGTTAATTTAATGATTAGGATTCCAAAAAAATCGAATACAGCGATGAAAATCGACATAAAAAATTTTATACTTAGAAACATAATTCTTCATTCTGAATTTAATGAGGATTAATTTATAACTGAGCATAGCCTCTATATAAGGCTCCCTTCACGAAAGGGTTTTGTTTATTAAAATACCGAGTTTTACTTATTTAAAAATACGAGTATAGCGATGAAATTCGACATAATAAAGTCCAGTACAAAATTGTGTTTGGTTCTTCAGAAAATTACTATTACACTCATATCTGAATTAAAAGAAACGAGTAGAGTGATGAAATTCGAATCAAATAAGTATTATACGAACCGATACCTTTCTATCAAATTTTACGACAATCGGTCCATAATTGACCCTACTCCCAAATATGTATGTTCACGGTTTGAAAATTGTACAAAAATATTTTGTTTGTAAAAATAAATGTTTTGTTAATTCAAAAGTGCTTGGTCTATAATTGACTTAAGTTATATTCTATATATCACGCTGATGCTTTATAGGGGAGCATCCCTTTTTTTAACTCCATTTGTAATGACTTATTTAAATACTTGTCTCCAATGCCATTACTAATATACTTTTTATATATGAGAGTGAGGACAGTCGTCAATTTAGTGGCCAGTTTGTAAGCGAGAGCTCAGGTAGTCTTAACTTTACTGCCCCCACTTAACAGAAACCTTAAGCGAAAATGCTCATTGTTATGTAGTTACACATTTGTAGGTTAAATAGCTATTTCGGGACAATACCTTGCGCAAAAGATTGCCAATGTAGTCACCGAGCAGGACGGACAGACAGGTCTTTATCAACATAGACATTAATTCTAAGTCGTTGGTGTAGGACCATCATTTTTGTCGCTAAGTAATCTAAAGATTACATACATCACAGGAAACTTAAGATAGAATATTCATTGCAATGCGTAATCGAATGACTAGGGTAAACATAAGTAGTAGGTTAAATAGCTTGTTCGGGACTGTCCCCCTGAACTGCTGGGTTCGAGTACGACAGCGAACTAATGAACACGTCAACCAGGTTCGTATTCTGTGTTGACAATTTGTTTGTGTGTACAACAAAACAACTTTTTAATTCCCGATTTGTAATGAATTATTTAAGTACTTGCAAGATAGTGAGTGTAAGCGAGAACGCAGACAGTCGTCACTTTACTGTCCCCACTTAACAGAAAACTTAAACGATTGCCAATGTAGTCAGCCAGCTGGACCGATATACGGACAGACTTGTCTTTATCAACACAGACATTGATTCTGAGTCGATCAATATGCTTTATGGTGATTGTAGAACCAATATTTTTGCGCGTTACAAACATCAGCAGAAACGCATAATACCCTCCCCAATATGGAGGTGTATCGTGCACTGAAAATAATCCATGCTTAAATTTACTTTTTTCGTAATATTTACGAAAATTTCGTATGTAATACAAAATATTAATTAATCACTAAACACTTTTCTAATTTTACGATAGTAAATTTAAGTGAAAGGATTTGAAACCTAAAACTATTTTCAATAGCAGAGTTAGTTCAGCAAATAATTTAATTCATAATTTTTTTGCAAATGAATTTTACATAAGATTTTAATAATAATATATATGCGATAAAATATCGATACATACAACAGGATCATCACCTTCTGCACAAAACCCCGGCATTTGTTCCAAACCTTTGTTAGCCAAAGACAGACCATTAAATAAAAATTTTTCAAATGAAAATAAAAATCGATTTACCTGTTTTACCACTCATACACATGTATCTTTTAAAATAACATTCATTTGGAATGGTACATCGTAATGATTGATCAATGGTTACACAAATTGGGTTTGAAATATGAGTACAATGTTCTTCGCAGTCATCACCCATAACCCAGGAGACTAGACTCAATAATAAAATTGTGCTACTAGTAGGAAGATGCATTTTAAAGATTCGTAAATAGTTTACTCTTTAAAAAGTTAGACATTTTCATTGTTATTTATATGATTTTGTTTAAAGAACTATTTTAAATGTTTTATTAATGAGGGAAAAATTGGAAAAAAGATTATAATTGAACACGTATTTTAGTAAAATTTATTAGCTTTTCTTAATGCAAAATATTATGAATAATTTTGTGATTATAATGAATTCTTTTGCCCTCTTTTTCACAGATTGATTTTAAATATTGTTCTATGATTTATTAAATGTATAGTTTTATAAATATTTCTGCGTTTAACTTTATTATTTTTTTAGTAGTTACATTTTACACATATTTACTTTTATAAAAACGTTCAATTCTTATAATCCATCGAAAAGGGCGTCACATTCTGAAAAATCTTCTTTACACTCTCCATTCGCTTCAATCAATTCTTTATTAAAAAATAAATCAATTAAAAAATATTAAAGAAATATAAGCAATTTTTCAACTTACCTTGTTTTGTTGTACACGTGAAAATTTTCAACTCACATTCATTTCCAAAAGTACATTTTATACTTTTGCCTTGCAAATTTTTGACAGTGCCACAAACTGGCTCATAAATTAAGGGACAATCTACTGTACAATCGTCATTAGCCATAACACTGGAGAATAAACCCAATAATATAATAATGCAACCAGTAGAAAAATGCATTTTAAAGAAATGGAAATAATTTACAGTTTAAAAGAGTAAAATGTTAAAAGTAATTTGATGAGAGACATTTTCATTGTTATTTATACTGGAATTTTTTAATAATAAAACTATTTAAAATCTCTATTATTTAGGGAAAAAATATCATATAAATACTAAACACTAGGGGGATCCAGAACCTTTTTATAAAGAAATAATTTCCAGAAGTGGAAACAGATAATTTTAAGCCTTAAAAATATATAAATTTATTTATAGTAAAAAGTAAATAAGTTTCAATATTATAAGTACTTTTGGGAGAACAAGTTTTGAGTGACCCCAATAATTACGTATGTATGTTTTTCGAAAAAAGCTAATTACTTTCGAAATATATTTATAATGGAGTCATGTATTCAAATTGTTTAATATTTTAGATACAAATAATAGTATAGACACGATTTTAAATATTACATTTAAAATTAAGCTTACAACAAGGCATTTATAATGTTTCAATAACATCCGTTGTCAAATTATTAACAGGCAGTTGTTTAATAAACAACAAAAAATAAAAACAAGTAAGAAATTATAGTCGGGCGAGGCCGACCATATAATACCCTACACCTGTTACAAAAATAAAATGTGATTTTGTTTTCATAATAAAGCATTGTAGTTGAATTGTACATTGCCTCAGATATACTTAAGCCATTTATTGTTGAATAAAATTGTGGACATTTTAGTCAAATTTTGAAGGGGGCTTTGTATAGGTGCTATGGTCAAATGAGACCCTATAATTATAAAATTCGTGAGAGTCATCAAGGCTAATATAGCCCTTGGTTTTGCAGCTTTTTGTTGAGATACGAGTATATTAAACATAATTATGAATTTAAAAGTCCTATTCGTCAGGTTGGGGGTTAGGTGAAATAATGTACCGATGTTAACCATTTTCAATAGGCTTTGTCTCCGGTACCATAAAAGATCATGTGCCAAATTTCATTGAATTATCGTCAAAATTGCGACCTGTAGTTTGATTACAAGATTTACAAGCCCTATTCCGGGGTTGAGTTGTATGGGGGCTAGATGAAATAATGGACCGATCTTAACTATTTTCAATAGGATTCGTCCTTGGGACAATAGAAGATCATGTGCCAAATTTCATTGAATTATCATCAATATTGCGACCTGTAGTTTGATTACAAGGTTTACAAGCCCTATTCAGGGGTTCAATTGTATGGGGGCTAGGTGAAATAATGGACCGCTGTTAACCATTTTCAATAGGCTTTATCTCCGGTACCATAGAAGATCATGTGCCAAATTTCATTGAATTATCATCAAAATTGCGACCTGTAGTTTGATTACAAGGTTTACAAGCCCTATTCCGGGATTCAGTTGTATGGGGGCTAGGTTAAATAATGGACCGATCTTAACCATTTTCAATAGGCTAAATCGACTCAGAAAATGATTGGTGTACTTTAAGGTGGGTATAGGACCAATATTATTGTGCGTTACAAACATTAGCACAAACCCATTATACCCTCCCCACTAAAGTGGTGTAGGGTATAAATACTCAAAGTTGTTAAATCTTAAATGTAAATACGTATTACGACTAGATCGTAATGAAATAAGTTTCATTTGGTATGAAAATAAATAATATTGGTTATTAATTTTCTGAAGTGGACCTTATATGGGAGCTATGACCAATATGGACCAATCCGGAAAAAGTAGCAATGAAATATGTGCATTTAAGTTATTTTCGGAAGTGGACCTTATAGGGGAGCTATGACCAATTGTGGACCGATACAGATCTAGGTGGGTAATATGATTTCTGTTTATATAATTGCCCAGTTCACAATCGGTGTGTATCGTAGTATGTCGTAAAAATTTTGGATGATACGATATTTTTGAGAGAGTTATTAACCATAAATCCATTTCCGGGAATATGTACAATATAAGAAATATTGAATTGATTGTTATGATTTTGAACATAATTGATCCCTGGGCCAAAAAATAATGTATGATAAAACAAGTAAGAATTTATAGTTGGACATGGCCGTATGAGGTCCTACACCAGTGATTATGTTACAAATTTTTATTTTATTTATTTTATTATTTTATTTAATAATAAAGTATTTAATTTGTTTGGGGGCAGGGGGGTTAATATGGTCCTATCCTTATATATTTTGTTAGAATGATTTACGCCAACATCAGTTGTTTATGCAGAATTAGTTTATATTAGTTTATAAGTGAATTTTGACCATCAAATTATTTTCTGAAGGGGACTTAGTGTGGGAGATAGGGTCAACTGAGGCCCGATCATCACGAAAATCAGCAATATCATTAAGACATAGTAAACTAAATTTTTCCAATTTTTGGAGTGATACAAGAACATTTAACATATTTATAGCTCAAAAGCCCTATTCGGGGTGTACAGTTGTATGGGAGGAGTATTGCGACCTGTAGAATGTGCACAAGGTTTACATGCATACACAGACGGACAGACAGACGGACGGACATAGCTAAATTTACTCAGAAAGTGATTCTGAGCCGATTGGTATACTTTAAGGTGGGTGTAGGACCAATATTTAGGGATTTTAAACCCCCCCCCCCTACAGTTGCGAACAATCAAAATCAAAACAATGACAATCTTATATATACCCTCTATTACCACTGATGGTGATGGAGGGTATAAAAAGTACTACAAAAGTACAATAGCACTGAATTTTCAACGTCTGGTTGGTTATCATTTAGTATTACTGGGTTAGAAAAATTAATTGTAATTCATACCAGATTTGAGAGGACCGGTCAAATTCAATATATAGGGCCACCATTCCAATACCATTTCAATTTAGTATAAAACTGGTATAAGTTGTCATATGATTAACAATGTCGGTGTATAATTTTTTTTAATGGTGGGTATTATAATTCGCACTGAATCATATAAATTCTTATGCAACAAAAAAACCAAAATACATACTTTCTGCATATAACTTTATTCAATATTTTTATTTTTATTATAAAATGTATTATAAAATACAAATTTATTTTAAAATCCTCTAATAATTTCATTGCATCCTTCAAATTTTTCCTTACAAGGTCCCCGCTTTTTAACCAATTCTTTATTAAAGAAAATAAGTCAATATCAAATTTATTAAGTAATTACAATTTTCCACATTACCTTGTTTTGCTCTACACGTGAATGCACCCAACATACAATCATTGGGAAAAGTGCATTTTACACTTTCGCCGTCCAAATTTTGTATAGTGCCACAAACTGGTGCGTAAATAAGGGGACAAACAACTGGACAATCGTCATAGTCATCAGCCATTACGATGGAGAATAAGCTCAATAATAATATAATGAAACCGGTAGTAAATTGCATTTTAAAGAAATGAAAATAATTTACAGTTTAAAAAGACAATTTAAAAACTAGATCGTTGTGAGACAATTTCATCGTTATTTATATAAGACAAAACAATTTAAAATGTTTTCTTATTTAAGGGAAAAATATTAAAAAAAATGCATATTAAAACTAAACATTAGGGGGGTTCAAAACATTTTTTTCTCGAAACACTTTCTAATAGTCAAAGTAATGCTTTTTAAAAATGAAAAATATTATTCACTTGTATTAGGTTTAACAGTTTTATAAATATAGGTTTACAGCTCAGTTTTAATATTAGTGATCAAATTGAGAAAACAGTTTTGAGTATCTCTAATAATCACTCACTCACTCACGTATTTTGGAAAAAAAAAACTAATTATTTTTGAAATATATTTATAATGAATTCATGTATTTTAAGCTATAAAATGTTTAAGATAAAATTAATAATATAGGCCTGAGTTGGTATATTAAACTTTTTCCCTATACTAATTTTATTTGTCACGTCTCTGATTATATAATATACAGACATAAATATTTACAAATACTGAATTTCAAATTTTCTTTTTTTTTTAAAATCCCTAACGGGATTTGATACCCATCATCAAATGATATGTCATAATAGGAGGCTTCCCTCTATAAACTCTGTTATTTATGAATAGTATGAATAACCACTAATTGGTTTTCGGTAAAAGGGAGTAGGGTCAATTATGGACCAATCCTTATAAAATTTGGAAGAATGAATTCGGTTCGTATTGAGCGTGTTCGCTGTACACGTATTTTTAAGCTACTAATGAGCGTTATAGTAATTTTCTGAAGGGAACCTTACATGGGTGGTAGGGTCAGTTATGTTTGCGACAGATCTTCGTTTGTATAAAATTTGTTTATGTCAAATTCTAACGCTGTATTCGTATTTTGAAGCCAGTAATGAGCGTCAAAGGAATTTTCTGTGGGGCGTAGGATCAATTATGAATCGAAATTCATTAAATTTGGTAAAAGGATTTTCGTTCACACTAAACTTGTTTATGTTGAATTTCAATGCTGTACTCATCGTTTTAAGCCAGTAATGAGCGACAAAGAAAATTTTTGAAGGGGACCTTATATGGGAGATACATATGTACCGATCGTCATAAAATTTGCTAGATAGATTTTGGTTCGTATAAAACATTTGGTATGTGTAAAATTTGCTGCTATACAGTTATTTTTAAAAGAGTTATGACTGTTAATATCTATCTATCTATCTATCTATCTATCTATCTATCTATCTATCTATCTATCTATCTATCTATTTATCTATCTATCTATCTACTATCTATCTATCTTCTATCTATCTATCATCTATC